AAAATAGGCTCATGCATTTAGGGGAACTAGCAAATCCAAAATCTTTAGAGGCAGTGTCCACGTTGAGTCCAAAGGCCAACAGACTGCTGCAGAAACAGGAAGAGTCAATGTTCCAGTTTTAGGACAGCCAGGAGGATTCTGTCTTATCCAGAGCAAGTTGGTTTTTAACTGATCAGATGAGGCCCACTCCTAGAAGAGAGGGCAGTCTGGTTTATTCAATCTATAGGTTTAAATGTTAATCTCATCCAAAGTACCCTCACCAACATACTCTGAGGATTGTTTGACAAAATATCTGGGCACCTCATGGCCAGGTTGGCATGTAAAATTAGCCATTATATTATAATATTAACACTATTAATATGTGAACTACGTCTACTGATTTTCTTTTGTTGTGACAAACCATCTGGCATTCCTAGAATAAGACTACCTTGGTTATGGTATATTGTTTATTTTCCAATTGCAGGATTCTATTTACTAATGCTTTATGTAGCATTTTCCATCTGTTTCTAGGAGTATAGTTGTCTTATGATTTTCCTTTTTGATCCTGCTTTATGTGGTTTGGTGAACACTAGCTTCATAAAATGAAATAAGGATTATCAGCTGCTCTTAGTGTGGGAGTTTTGTTATGTTTTATAGCTTCTATTTTTAGGGGCATTTTGAGTGTTTATTTTGTTTCTTTTCCTATTTCTTCCCTCTCTGATCACCATTTTGTGATAGCTTCCACTCAACTCTGGGCTAGATTTTATAACTGTGTTTTGGTGTTCTGCCCGACAATGGCCTTGGGGATGCTAGGTCACTAAGAAGCTGGTATTTCATGAGGCTTAGGTTTCACCTGGGGCTTGGGTCTCTAGAATCACCTTCTTAGACCTTCATGCTTTCAAAGTCTTAATTTCTAGGCAGTAGCAAGGCATTCTTTTGGCCCTCCCACTCTCCAGTTTCTGATTTTAAGCCACATACTTGTTTCTTGTCTGCCATCTTGGTCTGCCATCTTGGTCTGCCACCTTGATAGATTTGCCTAGAAAGGGCTAAGTTCCCTGTGGATTTTCAGACAAAAAGCCCAGTGGGTTAGAGTCTTCCAAAAGTTTCTCTTCTGCTTCTACTGAAGTAGATATCTTTTTTAGCTTTCTACTTTTGTACCTTTCCTGTCATTATTTTGTGTTCAGAGCTGACAAATGAATTGAAGCGAAAACTCATTGAACGTCCTCCCCCAGAATGCTCCTGCCTTAATTTCTTATTTACAATTTGCTGCCTTGTGCATGGGAATTTAAAGAAGCTATTTTAGTTCATCACTGTCTCTCTGAGTCAAACAAGGCAGCTATTCTTATCAGCCCCAGTGACAAAAGAACAAAAGAAAAAAGAAAGCTCAGCTTTAGCAAGTGGATGGTTCCTGAGCTTGGAACTCCTTGAGGAGGTCCAGACCCCTTCTCACTTTAGTCTTTGGGTCACTCTTGCTGTCAAGAGAAAGAAAACACTGAGTAATGAAGACATTTGTTAAAGACAATTTCTCTGTCAACACTTACAATTCCTTAGGCATTTTGTGATTTCCAAGAGAACAATATCAGAGGAGGAAAGGTCTGATCTGCTGTCATACCAACAGATTTTAATTTAGATAATGTCATTCACATTTATGCTCCCCATTTACTGTTCTAGTCCAAATTTTAATACCCCAGAATTCCCCTGAATTTAACTTGATCCAAAAAGTATCCACTGAACCTGCCTTGTTCTCAGGCATAATTAGTTGGTACAGACTGCTCTACAATTGTTCCAGGAAGGGTGAGCCTAAAATCATAGATATATTAATGACCAGTTTATATGTGAAGCCCTTTCCACAGGCCAAGCTCCTTGCTGGCCAAACAAAAAATAGATCAACTGGTAGGACTTGGTCCTTGGGAGCGTACTGCTTTGGAGGAAACCTGACGTTGTCATCAACAAGTGACATATTGTGGAAAATGAAGATGGTAAAACAGACTACCTGAAGTCAGATGGATAAAGGCCAGGGGAGGCCAGTAAATCAGTCCAGAAGCTGTTGTCAGGTTCCCAGCAAAAGTTGGTCCATGCTTCCCTTAGTCCTGACACCATCAAGGGAAGAAGAAGGTTGAACAGGATACTTTGATGCTGTTGAAAACTACACAGCTATTCCAGTATAGAAGGAAAGTCACCCCTTCTGCCAGAAAATTGTCATGTGTGTGGGTTGGGGAGATGGGTTAGTGACAGGAAAAGGTTGGCATTTTAGCTGTCTCTCAAAAGGTGGGAAAATTTGAACAGAATTTTACTGCATACCCTGTACCTTACCCTTACTCAGGAACTCAGTGAATGAGATGAAGTGACTAATTATCAAATTAGGTTTGCTAAGAAATTTTTAAAGAAAATTTTTGATCTAAGGTCAGATCAAAGTGTTATGTAGACTAAGGATTCATTTTGAAAATTCTGATTGTCAACAAAATCTTTTGTTTTGTATAGATTTTTACACATTTGAAAAATTTGCTTTTCTAAAGATCTCATTTGAATATGTTTCCTCTTCATCCCTTGACTCTCCTAGACTCTGTCTCTTTTTTATCCACTTACTCATTCAATGCCCATGTGGGGAACCACACAACCATGCTGGTCCAGACCTCTAGGCTTAAGCTAGTGCCTGAAATAACTCAGACACTATGACATGATTATGAAAAATGTTGTTTCTAAAAGGTTACCTTTGCACACTCTCCCAGAAAGGCCACCCATACTGGTTTTAAGTGAGGGTTCCCAATGTCCTTCCATTTCAAGGACACCAACCATAGCCTGTCTCTATGCTTTCAGGCATTGGAAGTACACCAAAATAATATCAGACCTGAAGAGATGTTAATCTGATTCCTGCATCTCCTTATTCCTTGGCTGGGAAAACACCCAGCATATTGCTACCTTTTGCCTTTAAATCCACACTATTTGAAAGGATCGTCCCCAGGTCTAGGTCAACTGGACTGGTTGAGTTAAAAAAGCACATGTGCATAAAGACAGTGTTTATATTTAAATGTCAAACATTGTGTGGGTAGATTTAGTGTTCCTTCCTACTCATGAATAACATTGCAAACTGTAATTAATTTATCCATGTCCCTATCAGCACAGCATTATTCTGGGACAAAAAAAGGGGTGGGGAGAGACAGAGGGGGTGGGAACTCAGTATTTCTTTTGGAAAAGTTTTCTTAATTGGATGTGTGTTCTTTCCATAATACCATAAAGATTATGGTTATTTGTCAAATGCAAGGGCAGCTGTGTTGCCTGAATAGTGGGTCCATAGCCAGCTGCACTGTCTTCCTTGAGTGACTGTGAATTAGTGCATATATCCCCAATATCTGGGCAGGGGCAGCTTAGATGACTATTTTTATTTTTATTTTTTGCGGTACCAGGGGTTGAATTCAGGATCCTGCACTTGCCAGGCAGGTTAAATGACTATTTTAATGAATGTCTTCTTGTTCACCAACTGGGCAACATTCAGGGGCATCTCTGGAGTCCAGCACACAGTACACACTCATAGAATTTATGCTTTACAGTTGAGTTTGCTTAATGGAAGAGCCCTGACCCTAAATCAATGATCTCTAATGTAACAGCCATGCACCACCTAATGTGTGCTGTCTGTAAATCTCTGGAACTGTAAGCAAAATGTTGCACATGTGTGCTTTTTAGAGGAGGGTGGAAGAGAGCTGAAGTTGTTCTCAAATCCCTGAGAAGAGTTTGAGAAAAGTAATAAACATTGATCTAAAATGATAAACAGAGCATACAGACCTGGCGCAACCAGCAAAGCTCTTACAACACAGCAGATGAGCAAGGTCAAAGCAATTCACTGAAGAAGTGGACTCTCGGATATGCATAAGAAGGAGAGGCCAGGTGTCTGCAAAGGGGCAGAAAGTGGGTCCTGGGAGGGGCTAGAAAGCAGGAACCAACTCGATACTACAGAACTGGACAGGACATGGTGAACAGAACTGGTCCTTGTAGGAGACAGCGTAGGGTTGAGAGTCTGTGGTGAACTCTCTAGTTCACACTTTTGTGTGGAGGAGGCCACATCATCAGCTCTGCGCTGCCCATTTGTTCTGCCAAAAGTGACCATGGCCTTTCCAGGTCCCTTGAGTTTTATAATAGAAACCAGAATTCATGATGTTTCATATGAGAACACCATGCATGTCTACCTGAATGATGAACAAAGGAGCCCCTATGATGTTCGGTGAGACAAACATTCTGTTTCCATTCATTGCCCAGCTTTCCTCCTGGTGGAGTCCTTTGGGGAAAGGTAGGCAGCAGCACAGCATAAATAGAACTGGTATAAATCCACTGCTAACAAGTTCACATAGTGGTATATTTCCTTACTATGATTTGAAATAATACTCAGCATTCTGTATCGTGGTGTTGTATTTCCCATGTAATGTAAGATATCATATACAAAGACACCCAGTGTTGTTACAAATTATTTGTAAGCATTGTCTGAAAGATTACGACAATATTGCACTATGTCAAATAACATTCTAGCATGTGTGCCGTTTAATTAGCCATTTTTCTATTCTTAGACATACACCTGCCAGTTATTTGTAAGTAAAACTACTAAGACTTTCCTACAGTGTGGATCCTTTCCATAGAACTGATTTCAAAGTGTGTAATTTGTCGAAGGCTATGGGAAGCTTTGGACTTCCCCAAGTCATACTGCGTGGTCTTATATTCCCACCCACATGGAGAGAATTCCACATCCCCTCTGTCAGCAAGGTGTAGGTCGTGTCTTAGATTGTGCCAAGTGTGGTCCCCTGGGAGCGCCTCAATTGACCTCCTCCCCAGGAAGCAGTGACCTGCCTAGGAAGCAAACATGGTGGCTCTGGACTGTCTTCTGGCCCTGGGTCACACACTTGCCTCTGCTACCTGCCTCCAGGTCCAGCCTGAATGTTACTCTGCAGCACCTGGCAGTCATCTGGGGACTGTTCTTTCTTCCTCTGACCTATCAAGCCGGTGGGAAACTGCCGTGAAATTTGCAGGTAAGTCACCTGGCCATTGGCCTCTTGCCCCTGAGACAACAGAAAGGCCATTGAAGGCGGCCCAAGCATCTTAGAGTGCAGTGCCAAGGTTCGGCGGCCTCCAGTGACTGTGGGTGCCTGTTGCCTAGTGCACCTGCACCCTCAGCTCTGGGTGGACACCCCATAAGCAAGCCTGAATAGGTGTACAGCTACAGCAGAAGAGCAAGATAAAGCCAAAAGGAGCCTGGTGAGGTTTTAAACCATCTTTCAAATGATTCTGTTTGGAGATGGTTTAAGGGGTGTTTGCACAGACGCACAGCCTACAGTACTGTGAGTGGGTGTCTCCCAGAAAGCTTTTCCTTTGGCCAGAAAGACCTCTTCTCCGCTAACCTCAAACTCCAAATGTAGCTCTGTTTTGCATCTATCTGTCTGTCTCCTGCGGAGTTTCTGCCGGCCCTGAGCCTCACAGTGGGATTCAGAGCGCTTCCCCTTGTGCACATGGTGGCTTGGCCTGGGGTGTAAGGTGCTGAAATCCTGATTGGGATGGGGTCGCCTCGGGGACCCAGGGCTCAGCGCAAGCGGACTGGACGCTGCCTGGCGTGGGAGGCCCCGCCCGCCCCGGCTTCCTTGGCCGGAGCAGGGCGCCGCCTCCGGGTTCCCAGTGCCTGGCTCGGGCGCCCAGCCCGCCGACCTGCTCCTTTCCTGGCGATCCCGGAGACCCGGACGCCGGTAAGTCGGGGGCTCCTAATCAGAAGGGAACGGCGTCTCAGTCTCACCGAGCCCAGCGGACCGCCCCAGTGGGAAGCGCAGCCACGCGGGTAGTGGAACAGCGATCTGTGTAGTTCAGCCCCTCACCTTCTTTTCCCCCTCTGCGCGTGTCTTCGCTTACTTTTTTTTTTTTTTTTTTTTTTTTTTTTAGGGCATCTCACCGCTGTAGAGCAATGAAAACATTTTTTTCATTAATATTGAATTATGGGCATTCTTGTAGAAAATTTGGAAAATACCTAAAAGCATCAAAAGAAAATTAAAACCACTACCATGCTGGTCTTCACTTTGTTTTCAAAGTAGACCTTCCATTCAGCAATACTTGAATACTATGCACCAGCCTGAAAGAGTAAACATTTATTATTTTATTTTATTTTACCTCATCTCGTCTCATCTTATTTGATTAGGAAGGTTCTTGGCTCTTTTCTGTGAAAGGGAAATGGGATGTGGAACACATTATTGCTATCTCATCTTGATTATAGTAATGGGGAAACCGAGGACTTCCGAGGAACGCTGGGAGCAGCTGCCCTCCATCCTGCTAACTCACTTTTGTCTGCATCTGAATTAAGCAGAAATGCCCAGCTCCACAAAGGAAGGCCCTGGGGTAACCGTAACTCATCTCGGGTCAGGGCCGTAGGGTCTCTGCCGCGTTCACACGTGGCGCTGGCGTTCACCATGTGGTGAGTTTCTTGAGGTGGAAGCCCTCTGCCTTCCTGCCTTTCGGGGCTACTGATCAGAGGAGTTGAGGCCCATCTGTGGATGCCCTGCTGCCTTCCTGGAGGAGACCCTCTGAGCTCATCTGCTAGGGCTTTCCTGGAGGAGACCCTCTGAGCTCATCTGCTAGGGCTGGTCTGTGACATGCAACTGGCAATTGAGCCATTTGAAAGGAAGGTTCACTTTGAGATTTCAGAGGGACGCACTGATGCCACCTCGGAGGGCGAGACTTCCCGGTGATTTGGGACCTTTCTTTCTGGCAGCTGAATGGAACGCTTGGGCATTCATGCATGGATGCCTGCTTCTGATGAATGTGGACTGAGTTCCCACCACAGGCCAGGCACAGTTCTAGGGATGGGGGATAGAACAAAGAACAACCACGCAAAGATCCCTGTCCTCAAATGCCTGCATTTTTGTGGGAAAGAAAACATTAAACAAGGAACACAATGATCAAGACAACTATATTATATCAGGTGATAAAGCACGGTGGAAAAAAAGAAAAGCAAGAGGTACTGAGAATAGGTGACAAAAAATGTAAACTAGATTACAAATACATATATAACTATGAATACTATAAAATTAATATGAAAAATATAACGAAAATAATATGAATTTTAAAATATAAAAACACACTGCATTGCAAGAGGTTTTGCATGGTTATTCTTGTTCACTTTGCCATCAGAGTGGAATTGACTCTAGCACTTTGTATTCTCACTTAACTCAGAAACCTTTGTTGAGATGTTCTGTGAGAGTGGGGACAAAGGTGCAGAAGAGCATCTCTGACCTTTGGAGCTCTTGGAAGGAGATGCCCAGGCACATCTTCAGATCATTCAGTATAAGTGAGAATATGATGGGCGCTGTAGGAGAAAGAGACGAAGAGGGGGATGCGGGTCACCATGGAGATGGGTGATCACCTAGGGGTCATACACTGTTTGGTGTAGGAGCTGGCTTTTGAAGGAGCGGTAGAATCAAAGTAAACAGGCGTGGAAGGCAGGCTCAAGCTTTGGAGAGAGCAGCAGAAGTAAAGCAGGGCCTTCACAGGGTTATTTCATGCACAAAGCCCTGTAGTGTGCCACCAACATTGACTTCATTATTCTCAGCTTTTAAATGGGAAAATTAACTAACTAGCTAAATAAATTTAACAAAGCTGAAGTTCCTTAGATTTATTTCTCTTGCTGAAGGTGAGGTTCCTGTCCGCCCTCCTTATAAGTGACTTCAGCTGTCATCCACTCTCTATCCAGAATGCTTGCCCTCTTCCCATGTTGGGTTTGACTGGGTCCTGTGCACTTGGTGGATTCCCTGAGTGATTGCATTCTTTATACCTCTCTTGCCCCCAAAAGAGGTCTAAGGAGTCCTGGGAATAGGAAGAGAGAGCCAGCAGGTGACAAAAAAAAATCTGGCCTTGCCTCTGCATAGTTTTCTCCCAATTCTTTGGGAGACCCTGACCACTTTAGGAACAGTGTGATGCCAGGGGAGGGGAAGGAGAGAAGATCTGGAGCAAACCACTTCCTGAAGGGTCTGGTGGCCTCGGTTGGCTTCTTTCTGACAAGAGGTAAATACTGTGTTTCCAGAATTTGTACATAGGTCTGTAAGAAATATGAACACAACAGAGAACTGCTTCCAAAAAAATTGACTCATCAAATTCTTAACTTAATTAGGACCATATTCATCCAAATTAAGCTTATCCTTAATTGGTTTTACCCTAATTCTGCTTCCTAAAACAAATAATGTCAAATGATTTCAAGACAGGATCTTTGAGTCTTGCTTAAGGAATGTGCTTTCAAGGAACTGCTTCAGGAATCCTGGTAGCAGGAATGCTACCCTGTTCCTCCAAAGGAGGCATTTTAGGAAGATCTTGTGCTTCATCAGAGACAGCGGGGCTGGAGTCAGATCTCTGGGCTTTGGCTGTGACTTCTGCATCATGACATCTCCCCTGCCTGCCCCAGAATGTACCCCTCCTGGAGGAAAGCTGTGTGTCAGCCCAGCTTTTGTAGCCTTGCCCAGGAAGTAAATGCTTAAGAAAAGGCAAAGATTGCCAATGCTGGGAAAGCATCTGTTCTGGAAGCTTCCAGGCAGTTATCGGTGCTGATAGGTGAGCCAGCTGGAGCAGGCAATAAAATACAGAGGTGTGTGCCAAGAACAGTGAGGTGCCCTCCACCGGCTCCTTCTCTTGGTGCAGGAGGGATCTGCTTGGGCTTCATTTGCAGCTGTTTCGTTCACCTCGGCTGCCCACCATCCAGCATCCTGAGTGAGTCCCAGAAGGCCAGCAGCCCTGAGGCAGGGTCCACACCTCAGACCCAGACACAAACAGAACTGCGTCTCTTCCTGAGCTCAACAAGACCCAGTTGGAGAACGTTCAGCACAGGCTGGTTTTGCTTGGTGTGGGCATCCCTATTTCCTACTGCACCTGCTTCTCCCAGCTCTTTCTCCACTGTGCAAGCTCCACAAAGCCGTGGTTCTGCCTGGGGCTTGGAGCTGGGCCTGGAGGGATAGGGACAGTGGCAATGCTTGTTGGCCTATTTAGGTCAAAAATCAATCTTCACTTAGGTCCTCCATTTCTCGTGAGAAAAGTGACTGATTCCTTAGTCTTTTTGAGTATGTCTATCTGGTCCTGGGACATCCTTTTTCTATAATAATAAAATGTGTGCCCATACCTGAAATATTTCATTTCATACATATTTTGATATGAACAATTTCCTCTGGCAAACCATCTCAACTCTGTGGAATACAGTTTTCTATAAATGAAGATTGTTGGGTCATCATTCTCTAAACCCACTTGAGTCCAACAGTTCGACACTGGGGTTACTGGGTATGTGGGCGATTTGGTATCATAATGAAAGTGAACTTGGAGAATCTGATATGAATTCCCAAATGGCCTGTAGATTGAACTCTGCACCATGTTGCTGACTATTAAGAGGCCATGGCTTGACTCATGTGGAGACTCATTACACAAAATACCACTGTGTCCCAGCCTCGGGGCACAGAGGACATTTAGCCACAGCAATGCAGTATGTTAAATGTAAGGCAAGAAAAAGTTTCCTTTAAATATACAGAGTTGTTCTTTGACAGGCAGTTAATGAACTTGGCTTTTCTAGTCTGGCAAAGGCACTGACAGGCTAAGAATTGAAGGTGCCAGTGTGTGTCAGGTTGGGGACAGTTAGAGTTACAGTAAAGATGATAATCTGTCCCTGGGAACCTGTCTTCAGGCTACATCAGAGACATGAAAAACCAGGGAAGAGCTGAAAAACAAATGAGATTTGAAAATTAAGAGATTAAATTATACTTTAGAGTCTTACAAAAACTCTCCCAGGCACTCTGCAGTGAAACGAAGATTTTATACATCCTATACCACACCAAGATGTCCTCAATCTTGGCTACAAATTAAGCTTTCTTGGAGGGATGTTACCATGTTATAACAGGGCTGTCATACTGTTATAAAAAAAATTCCTGGTACTGAATAATTTCTAAAGCAAAGAGATTTATTGCTTATAGTCCTGGAGATGGGGAAGGTCAGGGTCACGGGACTTATCTCTGGAGAGGGTCTTCTTTCTGTGTCATCCTGTGGTGGAGGAAAGACAGGCAAGAGGGCATGAGGAAACCAAACTCGTCCTTTCATCAGGAGACCTCCTCCCCAAAATAATGGCATTAATTTCTTCTAGACATTCCTTAAAGGTCACAGCTTCCAAGATTGTTGCAGTAGGATTAAATTTCCAATATGTGAACTTTTGAGGACACATTCAAAGCATAGCAGGAGGTTTTTTAAAAAGCTCCACAGCTAAGCGGGAACCTAGATCAAGACTATTAGAATATCTCTAGCGGCATCACTATCTTCACTATCACAAGAGAGTCCCATGTGATACTCAGCCTGGTCTCCAACCAACAGCATCAGGACCACCCAGGATGGCTGGGCCTCAGACCTGGAACAGAATCTCCAGAGGTGGAGCCTAGCAATCTGGATGGAAGTTAGGTGTGTTTTTTGTTTTTTTTCTTTGTTTGTTTTGGTACCAAGAATCAAACTCAGGATCTGGCACTTGCTGGGCAGAGATAGATACTTTTAAAGCATGCTGAGATATCAACACCACCACTCTGGAACAAAGCTAAGGATAGTTTGGGCCAGGGAAGCTTTCAAGGCAGATGTTTCTGACTACTTCCCTGGCCATAGAAAAATCCATATAGATTTAAACAACATATGTTTTCAGTAAGCCCATCAATATGAACGAGATGCAAAACATTACTCTTAAGGTACTGTACTTAGTGGAGCTATTGCTTCTAAACCTATTAACTTTTGCGTTTCCTAATATTGCCCACTGTAATTCTAGTTTCACATGGTCATTAACCCATAAGAACTCCTTAATAGTAAATGGTTGCTGGGTATTTGCCATTGTGGTCACGCTGGGTTCTAGAAAAAAAAAAAATGATCCCTTTAACTTCAGATGTGCTCATTTCTAGGGCAGGGTTCTGTGCATCTTTAGGTGGTCTTGATTCATTTAGGAAGAAATTGAGAGGATGTGTGTATGAGATACGTAAGGCAGGGGGATCATAAATTCAAGTTCAGCCTGAACAACTTAGTGACTTATAAAGACAAAACTAAAAACAGAAAGGGAGGCAGATGTAGCAGGTGAGAAGGTGCTAAGTTTGATCCCAGTAACCACACACACACACACACACACACACACACACACAGAATTGGTAACAAGGATGTGTACTTGGGCATCTCTTATCCTTAGAGATAAGCCCATGTCATCTTACAAACCCTAGCAAGCCTTGTGCAGACTTAAAAGACTAGCCATCAGGCCAGCTACAAACATCTTCACGTGTCACTTATGACTGATCTGGCCACAAAGTAAAGAAGAGGCCATGGTCTGCCAAGAGACAGCCAAATCTAAAACCCTAAAACCTCAAATCCTTGCGCTACAATTTCTTAACTATGTGGAAAAACCAATAAACTTATCTTGGGAACCGCAAAGTATGTGCTTGCTATGTCCCCTTTTAGAATAATGGCCATTTTAGGTGTCTTACACAAACAGCCTGCAATGTCAGTTATGCTTCTTCCTATTTTAGAAAGGGGGAATTTCACAACAGAGAAGGCTCGCTTGTGTCACCTGTGCCTGTGTGGAGGGGGTGTGTGTGGTTTGACCAATATACACTTTTGACTTTAGGTTGCATCTTTCTTTTAGGAAGTTGCCTAAGACGTCCACTCCCCACTGAGGAAGCTTGAAGCCCAGGATGATCTTGTCAAATTCCACTGCTGTGGTGCCCATCCTGGCCACTGTGTGGCAGGGTACAGTCCAACCAGGCAGCAATTCATCTGGCCTGGCCCGTAGGTCCCCTCTCCGTGATGACAGCAAGCTGGAGGCTCTCTACATCCTCATGGTGCTGGGGTTCTTTGGTTTCTTCACTCTGGGCATCATGCTGAGCTACATCCGCTCCAAGAAACTGGAGCACTCACATGACCCATACAATGTGTACATCGAGTCAGATGTCTGGCAGGAGAAGGACAAAGCATTCTTCCAGGCTCGGGTTCTGGAGAGCTGCAGAGCATGTTATGTCATAGAAAACCAGCTGGCTGTAGAGCAGCCCACCACATACCTGCCTGAGCTCAAGCCTTCTTCATGAATGCCAAGGCTGGTTAAAGTTGGGCAAGCTCCACATGATAATATGATGTTCCTAATCACATGCTTCTCATATTTGTGATTATATGATTGCCTCTGACATTCTTTTGTCATTTTCAGGGCCTTGGGGATTAATGACACTTCCTAAAATCACATTCCTCCTATAGAAAGCTTTTGATTGCTCCTAAATATTTGTCCATGATTGTTATATATAGTAGAATTCCTGACCATGGCCTCCAAATATATAGGCTGCAAGCTGAACATGGTGGTTGTCTTAGTTACTTTTCGCCCTGCTGACTCAAAATAGCCACCAGCCAAAGTAAACGAAGGAAAGGTTTCTTTAGATCACAGTCTGTAGATGTTTCAGTCCACAGTGGGCTGGCTCCAAGGCGGGGTTGCATGACACCCAGGCATTGTGGAGGAGAAACAGTTCATGGTGGGCAGAAGGTAGCAAAACAAGCAAGGGACAACCATGGCTCTTTCTATCACTTCCATCTTATCCAGGCTACTCAGGGTAGGGTGCACACATACCCTTAATCTCAGTACCCGTGAATTTAGGGTTACATCATGAATCAATCCCAGAGTCCCACAATCTAGATCCAGCCACCTCTGAAAAAACCTCATCACATGAGGCTTTGCAGGGAGGAGCGTCTAGACAAAAGCCATAAACAACAGTGGTGCTCTCCAAAATCCCTGAATTCTGGGAGTATCTAACCCAGCCTGGGAAATTTAGTGACTTAATAAGACCCCTGTCTCAAAATAAAAGAGCTGGGGATATATCTTAAAGCAATGGCCTAACCCAGTTCCAAAAAGTGAATATATGTAGTTATGCAGTTACAGTTAGTTATAGTCACATTATAGTTATATGTGCTTCATTTCCCATGCCCCTTGCAGCTAGCAAGGTACCATGACTATCTTCTGGCCATTAGAAGTGGAAGTGATGAATGCAATCTCCAGTCAATCCTCAGAAAGGAAATGATGTCCTCTGTCCCTTTCTCAGTGGTTAGGACATAATGAGTGTTGAGCAGCTTTACCTGGGAAGGAACAGCACATTTTCAGGGAGCAGAGCAAGAGCCTGGGGCCTAGGCAAAGCCGTGAAGCAGTAGCTCCATGCCTTCCTGGACTCTCCACCTGCACAAGTTCATGGGAAAGAAAATTTAATACCGCTCTTCTTGACACCATTGCTACAATGGCAGAAATAACGTCCTTTCTGATACACCTGCCAAACATGACCACACCCAATGGCATGGCGTAGCCAAAGCACAATATTTCTGTCCTTGTCACTTCTGTGCTTACAACAGTGCTCTATCCTCCTCCTGTCTTCCTGTCTCGCATTCCTCCTCCCTCATACCACCCACTCTATGAGTGTGTGTGCGCGCGCGTACACACACACACACACACACACACACACTTCCCACTCATGCGTCTCAATCTATAAGGAACTTGTTTTGTATAGGACTGAGATGGAGAAGGAAAAAAATGTACTCTTCCGGACACATACCCAAGGGAAGGAGCTCAGTTACCAGCAGAGGGACAGAAGTGCTCCCGCCACCCCCAAGAGCCCAGGGGAGGGGAGGTTGAGCAATGACAGCACACAGGAGTGGCAAGGCATGTTGAGGTAAATGAAATAGCTGATGGGTTGAACTGTGCTCCCTGAAAGGTACATTCGCATCCCAATCCCTGGTACCTATGAATGTGGCTTTATTTAGAAATAGGGTCTTCATGGATGACCATGGTAAGATGATTGGAGTGGGCCTTAATCCAGTATGACTGGTGTCCTAATAAAAGGAGGAGAATTTGGATATAGATACAGGAGAGTGGCTTAGGATGACAGAACAGAGGGCAGGGTGGTGTAACTCAAGCTGAGGACCACCAAGACTTGAGGGCCAGCCACAGAAGCTGGTAGAGGTCAGCAGGAAGCCTGGCTCACAGTCATTAGAGGAAGTGATGAGGCTCTGCCCACACCATAAAGTCAGACTTCTGACCTCTCAGCTGTGAGGGGATGCCTATGTGTAGGATAAGTCCCCACCTTGGGATGCTAGCCCTTGCCACCCACCCCTAGAGACAGAGACAGTCTCAGATTCCCTGCCCTCCAAGGTGGAAGATGGGGAGTTGGGGGGGGGATACTACCTGGAAAGAGGCCTCCACCTGTCCTGATAGGGTCACAGAGAGCCAGTGCCAGGCTCTTACAGCTGTCACCTGTAGCATCAGCGCCTTCAGCACCATAACATGCTGGGAACCTCACGTTGCTGAGGGGGTGCTTTTAAATGTTCTGTACTCCTGGAGAGTACAGAACATTTAAATAAAATATCATTTTTATAGACTCTGATGGAGTATAAGTGAGAAGCATCCAGCATTTGTCCTCAAAGACACATTGGGCCTCATTTCATACTAGTTCTCATTTCACATCATAATCAGTGAGTCCTCTGTTGTTCTTGGGGACATTACTGAGTTACTACAGTCTTCATAATGCATGACTTTTTGGGCTCCTGAGTCCTTTGAAAATCCAGTGAAAGCTCTGATCCTCCCCCTACTCTGAATGTGCTACAAACACAATATTTTGCCCACTCTCTCAGGGGACCATGGGTCACTGGAGCCCAGAGATGCCGGCTGCTCTCTCATGGCCCCTGTGTGAGCTGGACCTTGCTTTAGGCAGACACATGTTGGCCAGATGGAGGCAAAGGACTTTGGAGAGGGACCCAGTGCACTTGTGATTGGCAGTGTGATCCACAGCGGCACGGTGTCCTTGATATTCCAGGCGCACAGTCGGGTCCTTATCTCCCATCGTGTCCTGCACCGAGATGCCTGTGCCTTTTAAGGCAAGGGAGATCCTGAGAGCTTTCGACCTCCCTGCCCTTGAGCGGCCGGGCCTCGCTGCTCTCATGTCCCCCAACCACACATCTCGGATCCCTTCTTCCTTCCTCTCTCCCTGGATTTAAAGAGAGGAGAGAGCGGTGAGGAGAGGAACTGAGCCACACATTTTCAGGCACTCGTTACCGTATTACAAAATCTGCTTTCCTGTATACAGAGTACTGGCCATGTGCTGGATTTCATGCCCAGCTCTTCACAAATAGAATCTTGATATTTTGCATGCAGCATTTTATGTGTTCATATAGGACAATGATGATTTTGCTGTATTAAGATTTTCTGAAAACTAAAGTCTGTTATGGTCTGGCATGGGTCCTATATCCCTAGGATACTTTTAGAAGATGGATAACAGTTTTGGGGGGCTCAACTGAGGTAACTCCCTATGGAAACATGATTGTGGAGAGCTCATTCGCCACCAGTACACAGCATGCCAGAACAAGAGGTGTGGGCCCCTCGGAGGCCTGCAAATTAGAAACAAGGAAAGCAAAGCCTCAGAGGAGGATGGTGGCAAACTGTAGTACTCCCAGCTCCTGGCATTTGCAGCCAGCAGGGCATGTATACAAGGTCTTAAAGGACTTCTGGGTATTATTAGAGAAGCTGTGAAATCAGACTGTCCAAACAGTCTGATGAACAATCTCTGCTATACAGAGCAAGCTCCCAGGCAGCCCCAGGCCACACCTGGTAGTCTATGCTATGGTCTTCCCAGGGCGCATGTGTGGGAGGCTTTGGCCTCAGAGTGGCAGGGCTAAAGTGCAGGTATCACTAAGATGTGGTCCCAGTGGATGGTGGCTAGGTCATTGGGGTGCTGCCCTCAGGAGGGTCATGTAGCTCCCACTGGGCCCCACAGTTGGTTCCTGTTAGAGAGGCTGTGATAGGACAGCAGGATCGGTTCCTCAGGGCGCTCTGGCCCTGTGATCTCTCCCTCTTCCATGTGATGTCCTGTCGATGCATGTACCACATGACACAGAGGAGCCTTAACTGTGAACAGAAAGAAGAGCCCAGCTAATCGCTAGAACTATAAGCTAAATAAACTTCTTAGCGTTACACGTTCCTAACCTCAGGTGTTCTTTAGAGCCACAGAAAATAGAACAGAGAAAGTATACATAGGGTCATAGAGTTAGTGGAGCAGCCCCTGGTGGCAGAAACAGGCACTTCCCTGAGTGTCACCCTGACCAGTCCTTCAGCTCCCAGGTTAGGATGAAGTGCTACATCTGGCATGTGCCCTTCCATCAGGCTGTCCTCATCTGGTACCCCAAGAACAACCTATTCATGTGACTCCCAGCCAGACACCAGGCTCCTAGCTGTCACCACAGACAAGGACAGCTCTGACTTTGCTCCTATTGAGATTGGTTCTGAGAAGCCTGCCCTTGAAAGGTGGATCCACAGGAGTACAGGTGACGTAAGCCTCTGAGCTTCTCCAACAGCCCAAGCTCACAAAGCCAGCATGACCAGCGCCACACAGAATGCTTCTTCTCTGGAGCACCATGGTCTGACTGCGTGACAGCTTCAAACTTCTCCTAAATAGATAAGCAGCGGGAAATGCCCTGCACAGTGGGTTCAAGGAGCTTGGTGAGGTTGGTGAGGTTACCTAGAGACTGTCAGGGGAAACTGAGGCTCAGCAAGTTTTGGCCCACCTAAGGCCACTTGTTATTTTAAGGAGGAAGCCAGAAGACCTGCTCCCTCCCTAACTTTAATCCCTCACCCTTCTCAAGCTGCCTCATCATGCAGGGCTTCTGGAAGTCAGATGAAGTGACAGGACTATCCTTGGACAAGTCTTTGTCATTGGCCACAAAAGCAGACACTTAGTGGACACTGCAGACCAGGTAAGAGGACACGGAAGTCACTGAGTGTATTTTTCCATATTGTGAATTCAAGTCAATACAGTAGCCCAAACCTGTGATCCCAGCACTCTGAGAGATCCAGGCAAGAGGATGACAAACTTGAGGCCTGTCTGGACAATTGACAACTTAGCAAGAATCTGTCCCAAAATAAAAAAGGCTGGACAAAAAGCTCCACACAAAGGCCCTGGATTCAATCCCCAGCACTAGGGTGTGGGGTGCTACCGTGTGAAATACTGGATGTGCGCTTAGCCCTCAACTTAGGTCTCCTTGGGACGCTCTCACAGTTCCATCCTACTCACTTACCAATTGTTAAGTCAGCGGGAGAGGCTGAGAAAGCTGTTAGAGAGCCCATAATCTTTGTGTCTCTGGGAAAAGCCACATGAGTGCAAAGTAAAACAGTATTTTAAATCCACATCAGCAAGGGATTTCTATGGGCAAAAGGGAGACATAAATACTAACTCAGGCTACAGGGAATAAGAAGAGGTTAGCAGGGCTTGAGGACTAAAGAAAAGCACGTAAGCTGAATGAAAAGAATTGGAAAATGC